CAATTAATATACACTATATTGCCAAAAGTATTTGCTCACCCATCCAAATTATTGGAATCAGGTGTTCCAATCACTTCCATGGCCACAGGTGTATAAATTCAAGCACCTAGGCATGCAGACTGTTTTTACAAACATTTGTGAAAGAATGGGTCGCTCTCAGGAGCTCAGTGAATTCCAGCGTGGAACTGTGATAGGATGCCACCTGTGCAACAAATCCAGTCGTGAAATTTCCTCGCTCCTAAATATTCCACAGTCAAATGTCAGCTGTATTATAAGAAAATGGAAGTGTTTGGGAACGACAGCAACTCAGCCACGAAGTGGTAGGCCACGTAAACTGACGGAGCGGGGTCAGCGGATGCTGACGCGCATAGTGCGAAGAGGTCGCCAACTTTCTGCAGAGTCAATCACTACAGACCTCCAAACTTCATGTGGCCTTCAGATTAGCTCAAGAACAGTGCGCAGAGAGCTTCATGGAATGGGTTTCCATGGTCGAGCAGCTGCATCCAAGCCATACATCACCAAGTGCAATGCAAAGCGTCGGATGCGGTGGTGTAAAGCACGCCGCCACTGGACTCTAGAGCAGTGGAGACGCGTTCTCTGGAGTGACGAATCGCGCTTCTCCATCTGGCAATCTGATGGACGGGTCTGGGTTTGGCGGTTGCCAGGAGAACGGTACTTGTCTGACTGCATTGTGCCAAGTGTAAAGTTTGGTGGAGGGGGGATTATGGTGTGAGGTTGTTTTTCAGGAGCTGGGCTTGGCCCCTTAGTTCCAGTGAAAGGAACTCTGAATGCTTCAGCATACCAAGACATTTTGGACAATTCCATGCTCCCAACTTTGTGGGAACAGTTTGGAGCTGGCCCCTTCCTCTTCCAACATGACTGTGCACCAGTGCACAAAGCAAGGTCCATAAAGACATGGATGACAGAGTCTGGTGTGGATGAACTTGACTGGCCTGCACAGAGTCCTGACCTCAACCCGATAGAACACCTTTGGGATGAATTAGAGCGGAGACTGAGAGCCAGGCCTTCTCGTCCAACATCAGTGTGCGACCTCACAAATGCGCTTCTGGAAGAATGGTCAAAAATTCCCATAAACACACTCCTAAACCTTGTGGACAGCCTTCCCAGAAGAGTTGAAGCTGTTCTAGCTGCAAAGGGTGGACCGACGTCATATTGAACCCTATGGATTAGGAACGGGATGTCACTTAAGCTCATATGTGAGTCAAGGCAGGTGAGCAAATACTTTTGGCAATATAGTGTATCTTATCCATAGAAAAGAAAAGTCTCAAACTTTGCAACTGTTTTTAGGTGAGATTTGACTGATTTCCACACTGAGATCCATCGTTATTTCCTGTTTTTATCCAAGGTGCGTCTGCCCTAAAGAGTCCAATCTTCTGCCAAAAAATTCAAATGCACACAGTATTTATTTTGCATGATTCAAATAGTTATAGAAAACAAACAATAACCATAAAAGCAAAAGAAACAGAGTCAACAGAGGGATTAAATAGTAATACAAATTATATCTATTTCCATTTATTTATACAGCCACCATGCAGTACTCACTTTATGATCAAAGCAAAGTACACAGGTTCCCAGGAGATACAGCGACATTCTCCTAAAATCCAGCTTATTGCGGCAATCGGTAAAAAAAAATTCCATCTCAGGAAACCCAGCAACTGGACACAGACAACTCATTTTGAAGAAATAAGAGACTTTGTGCCAAGAGCTGCTGCTAGCAAATGATTATTTTGCAAATCGCTTAATCTGTCGATAATTTTTTTAATTAATCGATTAATAAATGGATAGCCAAAGGTTCCTTAAGGAAGATTTTTTAAACGAAGTTAAATCAGGATAAAGTAAAGCTTTTCCACATAAGTAGTTCTGGATAGCCCAGATTGACAGACTAAAACATTTTTTTTTTATCTTAAATGCAAAATATGTATATATATATATATTTTTTTTTTACAGTTTTGATATAATTCCTGCTCTAAATGTGTCGCTCTGTCAGCTAAAGGCCTATTTCACAGTCTCTATACTCCAGTTAACAATTAACCAATTACTAAATTAGTAGATTTTTTCAATAATGGATTAATTCCATTAATTGTTTCAGCCCTATATCCAACATGATACAATAGAATAGTTTTTATTTTTCTTCTTTTAACTTGAAAGGAAAATGTTCAGCTACCAAATATTCCTTTAAAAAATTTTTTAGAGGGGTTTCTATGTATTTGGATATCTTCGGGTTGGAAAGTGACAGGATTATTTCCCCACAGTGAAAATCCCATAGATTACATTTATTCTTATTTATTTGCTTATCTATTTTTTTTAATAGAATTTGCTTTTACTAAGGGATTGGAAAATATATAATTACATTTGTAATCTACTCTAATCTTAGTTCAATATTACAAACCTCAAAACCATTCATCAAAATCACGCAGTGTTGCTTGCGATGTTTACAGAGTGAAAAGGACAGGACCCCACCCCCGAAACAAAGGGAAATATCTTTCTGTGATTGCTTTCGGGTCAAGCTAATTTAAACACATTTGCTAATTTAGGCAGGAAATGTTTATTCTGATTTATTGCCGGATAATGAGAGAAAAAAAAAACTTTTTTCAGCACGTGAAAAAAAACTGAAAACCAAGTTTCAGCAGTATGTGCAAAAAAAAACAAATACTGATAACCACAAAGAAAAAATAGCAAGAAGAGGAAGGGCTTATCACGTGGATGTTGGGGGGGGTAGATAACATGGGTCATGTCGCCTCTGTCCCATTGCAGTGGAAATCGGGGCACTGTGGTTGCCCAGCCCATCTCCTGCTCCACACGGCACCTTTGTCCATCCCCTTGTTTGACATTCATTTACTCTGCTGTTTAGGAGGGGGCCGAGGTCACCGTGGATACATCACTGACATGAAAACACTGGTTAGCATGTCTGTCTACACCCAACCGCCCTGCATAAGACATTCATTCAAACAGGCAGGAGTACTTGGCTACAAGATGGATTATTTGTAATGGCTGTCAGTCCAATGTTTTCAAAGAATTAGGCAATTCTCTTTGCACCATCCTACCTTTCTACATGCAAAGACTTATAAATTCAATCTCTCGTTAAAAAACTTGTATCGAAAAGACAAGTATTTAGCTAAAATGCAAATAGATTTCAGAAGAATAAAATCTGCAACTATCGGCAGCGTGAAACACAAATAAATCAGAATCATCTATTCCTTTTGAGTTTTTTTTTCAAAATTGGTAAGAAATATAAAAACCCTTTTCTAAGGTCTAAACAAAAAAGCCTTAACGTTTAACAGAATTGGTGTAGTTTATATATATGGATGATGATGTGTTTTATGTGACCAAAGTGTCAAATAAAAAAATTTACAGGAACATGTCAAACAGATGTTGTAAAAGTTATTGGCAACAGAAAACAGATGGACAGAGATTTTGCTTCATTTATTCACATTTGCAGAAGTCATAGGTTGGCTAAATTAACATAAAATATATAATTTCCCATCATCCACAAAAATAGCTTCTCTCAACTCAAATCTGAGAAAAGAGAAAAACAGCACAGCTGATTGGTCACCTAGGAGAGATCTTACAAGCAGAAAGTTTACACCCAAACTACCAGGGGGAGCAGCAGTTGTTGTTGATTAAGTTTAATAGGTATCACGAGTTTTATTTTTCCTCAGAAGTCAGGATTTCCAACCTCTGAACACTCCTTTAGTCGACATTATAAAGTGGAAAATCGGACCAGGCTGTTGCTATACAGTAAGTCTCACGATACGATACTATCACAATATTGCAATATCACTATATACTGCACTATTTTTCCTAGCTTCAAAATGAAATGCATCGATAAAAAAGCTAGTCCTGTTTATGTTCATCAGAAGATATTAGTTATTTTGGTTTCTATTGTTCGGGGTTTGAATCAGTCCATGTCTTCCACTGTGACCGCCTCAAATTCAAATATAGCGCTAAGCAGCACAGCAAGAGGGCTCCACACAGCTATTTGCACAGGTAGCATATTTTCCCTCATTGTTTTAGGTAAATATATATATATATATATATTAGGGGTGTAAATAATAATCGTTTTGTATCGATGCACCGATCCAAAAGCCGACGATCCGATGCATCGACACGTCCGCAAGATAATCGATTAATGTTTTTTTTTTCCCTCCGGTCTATTTTTATCCATTTGCTCCTGGGCGTAATTCTTCCTCCCGTGCTGCGGTGGCGCTAAACCTATTTTCCCCTCCTACCGCGCTTCCTGGTTATACTCTTACAGCAGTTTGTTGCAGCAAGCTTCACACAGACATTTTTAAATTATGCTCAGTATTGAAGCGTGGTCTGGGCTACACGCTGTGGGTCTAGATACGGCCGAGGCGATGAAGAAGTGGGGGCGAGTTTAGTCCGACGACGGAGGGACAATGTGGCAAAAAGAGCGGAGATTCAGCTGGAAAAAGGCTCCCAGCGTTCTCGCGCACCTCGCTCTTCTAGCGGGTCAAACTTCACGAGTTGTTTTCCGCAATTTCGGTCATAAAAACAAAACTAGCCGGCCTCCTGTCTGGTGCACTGTTTGCGGTCAGCTACAATCTGGGAGAGGTGCAGCGGAGCGTCTCTCAAGGGGCGGTGACGTCAACACTCTGGAGCCTTCTTCTTCTTCTTTTTTTTAATGGCGGTTGGCAAACAACTTATAGCTGCATTACCGCCACCTTCCAGAATGGAGTATGGACCAGACAAACTATTATATTCTCAGGCGGGGGCGCGGGGGGCGCGCGCACCCCCCTTTGGGATATGGCAAGCCGATTGGGCCAATAATCGTCCTTACAATAACATGCAGTTCCAACCCGTATTTTACGCGAGCGCGCGTTTTTTACGTCACCGCGCGTTCTGGCTGGTGGCTGGAAACGCGCGGTGACGTAAAAAACGCGCACTTGCGTAAAATACGGGTTGGAACTGCGCGTTATTGTACGGACGATTATTGGCCCAATCGGCTTGCCATACAACAATAGCGTCGTTGCGAGCACGAGGAGACCTGGAAGATTTAAGGCCAAACAAGAAAACCAGACAACCATCTCTTTTAAGATTCTGGTCCAATCCAACAGAAGGGTAAGTAGAAACCAACTTTATCACTTTATTTTCTAAAGGCTTATATCTATAATCTAAATAACACAGATTGAAATGTTTATATCTTGTTTTCTATTCTTCAGTGGACCTTGCACAACTACAGAAAATGACCACAGCGTTGACCAGTATGAACGTTCAGATATTGGAGACACACAGATAAAAGGTATGATGATTGCTAGAAAATGTTGATAATGAGAAAACATTATCAACATTGTTGATTGTTGATAAACAAGTTGTTTAAAGTTGCAAAGTAATGCAATTGCAGGAATACTTTAACCAGTAACAGGAAAGTTATGAAAATTGCAGCGTTTGATAAGTAATAAAAAGAGTGTACAATTAACAAAAATAAGCAACATTAGTTGCCATTGACATGTATACAATAGTTATTTTGTAGTGTGTATTTTTGGGTCTAAACCTGTACCACATGTGTTGTACTGTTAAAAATAAGAATGGTATCCTTTATGAAAACATTACTTACTTTTATCAATTGGTAAGGATCCAAATCAATGAATGCTCTAAGCACATGCTTGGAGTCTAAGGGAGTCTTGTTAACATTGTGATATGATAACTACAAATCTGGTGTTATTTGTTTTCAGTGCATTTAATATTTTACAATAAAAATACAATTTACTTTTAAGTAAATTCAGTTTTGTGCACCTGGTGATATGTGTTCAGTGAATTTAATAATTTACGATAAAAACACAACATTAAATTGTTTTGTGGCTCCTCCTGAGATTACAAGGTTCACCTGATCACAAAAAAAATTTTCTTTTCCAGATGAACAACAAGGACCGTGTTTCGATGTAAAGACAACCGAAGAGCCGGCGCTCAACCAAGCGGACTTGCCCCAAACAACTTACAACATAGGTGAGTAATAGTTGTATTTTTTTCAATGTCAAAACAACTAATTTTGTTTTACATGATTGACTTTTTTGCTTAATCTTGAAATCTTACATTTCATAAAAATTATTTCATAATAAAGCAACACTATACAAAAGCTTCATGAAGGCAGATTTACAACTCCACCAGCACCCATGCAAAATTGACAATGTAAATATCAATGTTATTACAGATATATCAAAGGCCAAGGACCGGATTAGTGAAATGGACGACTCTGGAAAATTCCAACTTCTTCAGACCAGAAAACCCAAATCTTTCAATTTCCCTGCCAGAGAAGTTAAAGACAACCGAAGAGCCAGTGGGGTGACCAAAAGAACATGCCAGAGGGACTGGCTGGACAAGTATGACTTTTTATCATTTTTACATGATATAAAGATGATCTACCATCAAGATCAACATTCAGGCAGGAAGTGAAGTTGTGGCACACAAAGTGGTCATCATCAGTGGAAAAACCCAGCTCTCTCCCTGAAATTCTAAAGATAACAAATATGAAGTGCTACCCATACATTTATATGATTCTTCCCCTTCTGTCAGTCATTCCTGTTACCAGTGCTTCTGTGGAACGTGCTAACTCGGGTCTTAAAGCAGTAAAAACTTTGCTGAGGTCAACAATGGGACAGGAAAGGTTTGTGGCTTTGCTACTTTTGTATTTGCACAAGGACATTCAGTTAGACATCAACAAAATCATAGACACATTTGCCTAGAAGCATCCCAGAAGGTTGACTTTTTTAAACTCATTATCATCATCATAAAGTTTGTAGTAGAGAACAATATTCTTTGTCTGGTTTAACTTTTTTTTTTTTTTTTTTACAGTTTATCTTGTTAAAATATATTCAAAACTCCTTTGTCTTACTTGAACCATACTTGAACCCAAGTCCTTGTTTTTTTTAATTTTTTTTTATTTAATGTTCTGTGTAAATATCATTTCTGGAAATAAAGAAACTCCTTGTTTGATTAATTGTTGATAAGGATCTTTTTTTTTCTTCAAACTACCTTTTAACCTTGTGCATGCTTTAAAAACCGAGAGATCCTTTTTTAATTACAATAATGTAATCATGCTAATTCTACTTATGTTCATCCATTAAAATTATCAATTATAAACCCTTGGATGAATAATTAGGGTAGCGTGAAAGAGTGAAGATGGTATTCTTTGGTCTTTTAGCCTCACATTGTCTAGACCTGTGACCCTTGACCCCGTGACCCCATGACCCTTAGGTGCGCACCCCCCTTTGAAAATTCCTGGATCCGCCCCTGATTCTCCCTAAAATACCCGTTCTTCTTAGAAAAAAAAAATACCCCCAAAAACTACATCCCCAGATGACCTTTGAAACAATTCCCTTATATGTAGTTTATTTTTATTCCTGTCTAACTCTCTACACAACATCTCTCTTTCCTGAATATATTTATTACATTCTAAAAAAATATGTTGGACAGTTTCTCTGGAGCCGAGGTATTGCATTGAACTCATTACACTGATATTGTGCAGTATTTTTGCAGTATTTTTTGATGCAACTTTTCTACTTCTGTTATTTGCTGTTGTTTCTAAAGAAAATGCATAATGATATTACAGCTTTCATTGATTTATTTCAAACTTGAAACTTTGTTTAGCCTGTAAGGTGTAAAAAAAATAAAAATAAATAATAATAAAAAAAAAATTAACCGATTAATCGAATCGAATCGTGGTGTATTCTTAAGTATCGAAAATAATCGAATCGTTGGATCAGGAAATCGATACTGAATCGAATCGCCATGATGGATGTGATTTACACCCCTAATATATACACTATATTGCCAAAAGTATTTGCTCACCTGCCTTGACTCACATATGAGCTTAAGTGACATCCCGTTCCTAATCCATAGGGTTCAATATGACGTCGGTCCACCCTTTGCAGCTAGAACAGCTTCAACTCTTCTGGGAAGGCTGTCCACAAGGTTTAGGAGTGTGTTTATGGGAATTTTTGACCATTCTTCCAGAAGCGCATTTGTGAGGTCGCACACTGATGTTGGACGAGAAGGCCTGGCTCTCAGTCTCCGCTCTAATTCATCCCAAAGGTGTTCTATCGGGTTGAGGTCAGGACTCTGTGCAGGCCAGTCAAGTTCATCCACACCAGACTCTGTCATCCATGTCTTTATGGACCTTGCTTTGTGCACTGGTGCACAGTCATGTTGGAAGAGGAAGGGGCCAGCTCCAAACTGTTCCCACAAAGTTGGGAGCATGGAATTGTCCAAAATGTCTTGGTATGCTGAAGCATTCAGAGTTCCTTTCACTGGAACTAAGGGGCCAAGCCCAGCTCCTGAAAAACAACCCCACACCATAATCCCCCCTCCACCAAACTTTACACTTGGCACAATGCAGTCAGACAAGTACCGTTCTCCTGGCAACCGCCAAACCCAGACCCGTCCATCAGATTGCCAGATGGAGAAGCGCGATTCGTCACTCCAGAGAACGCGTCTCCACTGCTCTAGAGTCCAGTGGCGGCGTGCTTTACACCACCGCATCCGACGCTTTGCATTGCACTTGGTGATGTATGGCTTGGATGCAGCTGCTCGACCATGGAAACCCATTCCATGAAGCTCTCTGCGCACTGTTCTTGAGCTAATCTGAAGGCCACATGAAGTTTGGAGGTCTGTAGTGATTGACTCTGCAGAAAGTTGGCGACCTCTTCGCACTATGCGCGTCAGCATCCGCTGACCCCGCTCCGTCAGTTTACGTGGCCTACCACTTCGTGGCTGAGTTGCTGTCGTTCCCAAACACTTCCATTTTCTTATAATACAGCTGACAGTTGACTGTGGAATATTTAGGAGCGAGGAAATTTCACGACTGGATTTGTTGCACAGGTGGCATCCTATCACAGTTCCACGCTGGAATTCACTGAGCTCCTGAGAGCGACCCATTCTTTCACAAATGTTTGTAAAAACAGTCTGCATGCCTAGGTGCTTGAATTTATACACCTGTGGCCATGGAAGTGATTGGAACACCTGATTCCAATAATTTGGATGGGTGAGCAAATACTTTTGGCAATATAGTGTATATATATATATATATATTTTTTTTTTTTTTTTTTAATCGATACTAGGAACTGAAAGATCAATTTTATATTGGACAGCCGAAAATCACGATATATTGCCAGAAAGATTTTTTCCACACCACTAGCGTCTCTGTCGTTCTAACATTAAAACAAAACATGAGCACCCACAAGCAGGAAACTGGAACGTTATTACAAGATTGCAGGTTAAATTAATCTGAGTGCCCAGTTCTGAGGCTATAGGCCAGATCACACCGAATCCGGTTTTGCGTCCGATCAGACAGAAAAATTTTTCGAACGAGGTTGTGGCATTTAGTGCTCATTGAAAGTCAATGGGGATGATCACACCCGACATGATTTTACAGAAGGGGGCTGCTGACTGAGATAGATCCTAGGTCTATTTTAGTCAAACTATGCAGCAATTCAGCAGCAATTTCATGGGTCTGAGAGGAAGAGAGACGCAGTTACAAAGTAAAACACATCCGCTTTGGGGGAAAATACTGAACAAAATCTATTAATCGCACGGGGAAAGGGTCAGTTTTGGAGTCGCACATCGTGTTTATGGTAAGCAGGACAGACTGGCGCAAAAACAATGAGAAAAATCAAAAAGAATAATAATTCTTTACCCATAATAGGAGTTCAGGACAGAAAACAGATAAAGTAGTCATCGTCTTTGAGCATTGCAGAAAAAAAAACGAGGGACAGACAGAGACACTTATCAATCTTCCTTAAAAAAAATTACTTCAGATGGAGAAAAAACAGTTACAGTAAAATAGTGATCCTCTTTGAGCGTCACTAAAATCAAATTAAGGGGCAGACAGAGCAGGTAAGTGCGGCGTATCTCTCTCTTCTTTATGAAAAAAAAGAAAGAAAAACTTGGATAAACTTCCCAGATCTGTCTCTGAGAATCACGTCTCTCCCTCATTCAGCATAGAAACCGTCCCAATGCATTATTGCTTTTCTTTAGACATATAACTTATATTCTTTTAATATATATGAACATTCTCTATTTGTTCTGGTTTGAGATGCTGCACAGACTCGTTAAGTGGGGCTTTGATTTATGGGTGGTAATTTTTTTTTTTTTTATAACTTTTCATAATCTGTCCAAGTCAAATGTGGGAAATTGCTTTAATTTCTGTGTCACAGAGACAGAAGTGACAACAATCTGCGCAGATCTGCCAAGTCGGAGCTCCTCTATTTGCAGTCAGTGTGACGTTGAAAAAAATCGAATTGAGATCAAAAAGTCTTATGCAGCCAGTTTATACGAGTACGAAACAGGTAGTGATGTTCTCATCTGCCACATTTGTCAGCTTTATTTCCCCCTCCAGTAGCACCTTTAGTGCAGATGTGAATACAGTGAGCAAACCCTAAATCGGCTTTTTAAACTGGGGACTAGGGCTGCAACTGATCATTATTTTGCAAATCGATTAATCTGTTGATTTTTTTTTTTTCAATTAATCGATTAATAATCAGATAAGCAAAGGTTCCTTAAAGAAGATTTTTTACAAAATGATACCAGGTAAAACTAGAATATTTTAGATTCTCTATTCTCCAGTAAATGATTAACCGATTACTAAATTAGTTGACAAATATTCACTAAACAATTAATCACGATTAATCAGATTAATAGCTTCAGCCCTACTGGGGACCCACTTTAAACCTCCACCAACGGACACTGGTGTGGGATCCTTCTGGTCTGAATATAAACCAGCATCCATCCGTCGATTAAACATAGTACTGAAATCATACCTGATCTGCCAACTGTCGCTTAGCAACGCTGCTGCTAGCTTTCTGTGAGCCTCCTTGCAGGAAGGATTCTTTGACGTTGCTACAAAATGAGAAGTAAAACGTTTCAAAACCTGCATTGGATATGATGCCCATGGCAGTTTCTGCATCTGCAGAGCAAACATATAGAGCTCCTCGTCATTTCTG